ATTTGCAAGCATGGCCGAGGAGTTGAACTAGGGTCTACCGAGAAACAATTCCAGCTTAGTGGTCAGAATGGGATTTGAACCCGTGACCTCCAAATTTCAAGTGTGGCGCCCTAACCACTCGGCCACACTGGCACCGATACGCTGCCTCTGGTTATAATTGAGTTAAATAGAAGCTCATTTACAGAAGTTAGTTATCTTAATTATCTTTTTCAAACCCATGCACAAATATTCATTCCATATTAAGCTGTTGTTTTGTTATAATTATTATTCCCATTATAATGGTTTTCACTTTGTCCTAAAAACTTCTTAGCAGGTTTAGAAGTCTTAATCGTCCAATAACTAAAAACTGGTAATTGCATCTTGTAGGGGAAGCCTGGGCAGTCAGGCCCTCCTGGATTACCTGGAGTAGATGGGTCTGATGTAAGTTAAATTTGTAGATTACAAGTATGAACTTTCTTGATTTTATTCTAAGGCAAAGGTAAAGTTACTTTGTTTATCACCCATTTTGTAGCCTACATTTTACATTGGTATAATTTCCACTAGTATCACCGAACTAGTGGACTGATGCAAATCCTGTATTTTAATTGGCTATGCTACTAGACGACTAACTACAGTGTAATAGTCCTAGAGTAGCGAAATTGGCCCAATCGAGCGTAATGTTACAGTGTCGAACAGCAAAAGTAAGCCACAAAAGGCAGCCACGAAGGTGAAAGACAACAGTACACACAGTACACCTTTCAACACTCTCTTCCTGCGTTCACACTATTCCTGATGTATACTTTTACATGTACAACTGCTGTCCTAATATACTACATGTACAGACGCTTTCTTTCATTTTATTCCGAAATAAATATTTCTTCAACTTGCATTTGTTAACTTTATTATTGCCTTTTCTGTCTGACTAGTTGGGTGATACTAAAACAATTAGACCCCTCAGTTAATTTAAGCCAAATATCATCCTGTTTGGCCCTCTCTCATTAGGATTAAAAGTTTACATTGTGTGCACTCTCATGGAATATTGCTCTCAATCATAATTTTACTTAATGTGTCACAGGGAGAACCTGGCGAATCTGGATTGAGAGGACCTGCTGGTGCCCAGGGATCCCCGGCAAGTATTATCTTTTGTTACAACTTGAGTCTTTGTGACAAATATGTGTAACAACTATTATTGAGAACACTCACAGACAGAGCATTTGCCAGAATGTTTTGTTTGAAAATTGCATTAATGTGAGGCAATGAAAAGCGGAAGGTTAACTTGAAAATGTAATGGTTTCTTTGGCTCCCAGGCTCGATGGGAATAACTTGATTAAAAAATTTACTATACTGTAACTAAATGTCCTTTTATAATATATTGTACTGCCAATGCATGAAATTAAAGATATATAAAGTTTTACATGTATACAAAATAAAGAGTCAAAAAAGTTGCTGATGGATTTGCAGATGGTAGAATAAATTGCATGCTGTTTGGGTTCAAGGCAAACATCAAATTTTCAACCACAACATTGCTGTGCCTCTATGTCTGCCCAAAACATTATTTTCATTGAATGTTCAGCTGCATGACTAATTGTATCAATTCTATAGATTACAAAATTCTTGATCGTATTTATTCCTCAATCGCCCATGTGCCTATTTGTCACGTAATCGGCACACGATTATGTGGGTTTCCAATTACAGGTATCCATTTACAATGTTTTGTAACTGGATTCCTACAATATGGATACCTATGTGATGCATATGTCAGTTACGCAGTCCCTTTAATGGCTTCCCTCTCAATGTTTCCTATACAGTTTTAAACTTTTGGAAAGTCCTGCTTACTTTTTTGTCCAAAATAAGTTCTCAAAAGAGTTTCATTTTAAAATTTGTTGTTGGTATGATGAACTACTTTCTGTAGTACATGTTTACTCAATTGGACCTTGTGTGTACAATTCAGAGCACTCATGGTTGTAATTTCAAATTGGCCCCATGCTGTTTGCTTGTTTGATTTTGAAAATACTCAAGTGATCACTCCCTGAGCTGTACTCCACTTGGCCTAGTTACTAATAATAATTATTTGCTAAATGGATTTAGTTCTGTTTATACTTCAGGGTCCGGCTGGAAATCCTGGTCTGGCTGGTGAAGTGGGATTCAAAGGAGATAAGGTATGAGCAGTTTGTGTTTCGTTGCCAGTTTTAAAAAGCAGGCCAGTATTGGCAACAGCAGTGGATGGATATAACACATTCAAAATTGTGGACTGTTAGATAGCCTGTCACTCTGTTGGTTTTTTAACATGAGGATTTAGACACATCTCTTACCTGGTTTACTGATTTGACATCATCCAATCAGGAGTAAATCCAAAACCAACCATGTGTCACTCGAACATTTTCATGTGCTTCATGAAAATGTTTGTCTAAGTTGAATTATTGTAAGCCTTGATTGGTTTACTCAGGAATGTGATCTTCATATTGGTTTTACGACATTCAAGTGAAAGCTTTGGTTTTATGACACTCAAGTGAAAGCTGCTCTGAAGAGTTCAATTATTGTTCTTACAGGGGATTAGAGGGGCAAAAGGAAACAAGGGTAACCAAGGAACTCCTGGCGAAAGGGTATGAGCGCTATAGTTAACAACAACAGCAACAACAACAACTTTATTATGACTCACACATTTACAATTTTACAGAAATATATACACATTAAGTTAAAAAAGCTTGACAATTGCTGGTTTTCAGTGTCACGCAATTCAAAATAGATCAAAATAAAAATCAAAACCGGCCAATAGATAAAGTCCAGAATCTGGGAAATGAAAGA